ATCAAGGGATCATCAAGAGCCTCAAGGATCATTACCGAACAACAAAGCAAGAAGCGGAGTTGGACATGTTCTATCGGGGCGAAAACAATAAACCAGACGATATTTAGAAACTGCTGGAGTCACAGCAGAATATCGTGTAAAAGATGGGGCTGAGATTTATACTGAATTAACGTAATAAAAAACAGTACAATTGGCCCATCTGCGTTCCTGCATAAATTTTCGCCGTTGGCTGACTCTATATGGTCCACCCTGTCGAAAACGAGGTGCACCACTGTAATTTGTGAGATACGGTACTGTAAATTCTGGTCAAATTTTCCGATGCTGGCCCGTTTTCTCCAACCTGGGTTGAATCCCCCCGATACAAAATCAAGCTACCGTTTGGAAATCGACAGAAAAAGTGATAGATGGTACCCAGCTGCTCCATTTAAGTTCGATATCGTACTTTATGTGATGTTTAGTGAACTCAAGTGATTAATCCAATTGTATCGGTTTTGGGGTCTACATGGCTTGGTCCGTTCAATCAACCCATCTTGGAAATTTCGACTACAATCCACAATACTACAGCGCTATATTGATTTATGTACAGTACTAGTCAGTAAAGCGACTATTAACGTAAAGCTGCACTAATTCGATGCGTTAATTTCCATACATATCCTTGGATATGCCATCTCACGTTGCTTTCCTCCTCGACTGGCGCGTAGTATTGCAGGTGCACACCGCGCTCAATTCGTCATGCTCCTGTTCGTACTACTGGTTGGTAAAAGGTAGGTAGTTTGAGTGCGGCCAGCTCGCAGCAGAAGTGGCTACCGCGGTTACCAAAAAAAAAGCAGAACTGAGCCCTTAGAACTAGTCTGATGGAAGGTTTTAGACCAAGATTAAATCATTCGATGAGTTTTGTTACGAAAGTTATCACGGCTTTCTGGATGTTTCGCATCGCTGTCTAGGCAAGCGTTATGTTAACGTTTAAAAAAAAAAACTGTTTTCAGTTTAAGTCGCAGACGATAATAGCGTCTTTTATACTAGATGAGGGAAATTCGCTTTTTCAGTTGCAATTCACGCGAACTGAAACATGACGAGCGTAAGAAGATGTGCAACCAATGTCAATCCTATCTCATGTAGCTCAGATGAGCGACTAAAGCCTCATGAACTGCGTGCATAAGATATTTCTGGTGAGCCCTGGCCGTTCAGACGGACAGATCTCCCCCTACATGTTAATCGAAACAGTATTAATAAATAATAGCCAAGAATTACATACCTTGTTGTGTACAGTGGGTATACATGTTATAGTTTTTGGATTTTCATTAGCAAAAATGCAAGTTCCCCTGCTAAAACACAGCTGGTATTAATAAGTCGGTTTTACTTGATTCCAACTGTGGCCGTTACATGTGCATGAACAATGCATCGTATGATACTGTCCATTCCCCAATAGACGCAGCCGCCGTAAGAGACCGACTATCAGGCATGAAGTCCCAGTACAAACCCACGCGTTCCCGAGTTTCGGAGCCGCTTGCAAACCCCAAGTTGGAGACATTAGAGAGCAGACGGCGACAGAGACCACCCAAAGAGATATTCGATCAAGGTGATGCCCCAGCGTGGCTCGGCTGGCTGTTTATCTACGTATTCGTGCTCTTCTACTTTTCCGTCAGCCGCTTCGTCGCGCTCAAGACTCTAGTGATCAAGTACAGTAGCGTCGCAGAATACACTACACGAGTCAAAGTCGCGGTCATGGGGCTCGGCTTCTTGGAGGACTTCGTCTGCACCACTTACTTCGCTACTTTTCTTTGCGTCTTTGACTCCCTGAAACGTGTAGCAATAGATCACTACAAGCTCGCGGTTGTCACTCGTGTATTCGGTCGTGCAGCCACGTTTCTCGTGTCCTGGGCGCTGTTCTTGGCCATGATGGCACCGTTCGTAGCGGACTTACTGCTGGTAGTGCACCGAGACATGAGATTTAGCAGCGGTCTTGTTGCTACGGTCATCAGGGAGCGAGAACACCTCAAGCACGCGCCAATCACGGAAGAGGAGGTCAACGCGAGCTACCTCAACGCGGTTGGTCTTCTTTTGGTCGCAACGATCTTCGGCCTTGTGCGGACATGCGCTGGCTGGGCGGATCTCTCGCATTGGAACCCGACATTTTTGGCGTCGAATTTTCTGGTGCCGAAACTGATCCACTTGGCATCTAGTAGTAGCAAATGGATAAACAAGAACGCAGTGCAGGATGTGGAGCAGAGTCTGGGAGAGGGAGATGACAACGCACATGAAGACAGAGAAGCACTGCTATTCTCTGCGAAGATTGACGATACCTATCGACATGTCGCCTGTCACCAGGTTGTACAAATTGCTGCCGTTCTCGTCGGGCTTGTTCTCATCCCTACGGCTGTCGTGGTGGTTAGTTGCGCTAGTTCACCATTAGTGGCACACTCGGCCTTGAACGCCACACTGAATGAGCTGTTCGCCAACGCCTTACAGCCCGCACCGGCAGACCTTACACATTCCAACGAATCCAGGGACCAACCTTGGGTAGAAAAGTACATTCACAATACCGAGAAGCACGAGCTATTTGGAAACGGCTCGCTTTACCGCCGTACGACAGGATTTCGCGGTGACCTGGCATTCGACGTTGAAGTCAAGAGCGACGACCCACCCAACGTTCTGATCATTGGAGTCGAATCATTCCGGTACCAAGATTCGCGCTACCTCGTTGGAGAAGAGGACCCGTCCAACTTGTTCAAGGGCACTGACATGACCATCAGTCCGAACTTTGACAGGTGGGCGCAGCGTGGCGTCGCGTTCCGGAATATGTGGTCGAGCAACCCCACGAGTCGCTCGCTAGAAAGCATACTGTTCGCGCAGGTCCCATATCATAGCGCGGTCAAGACAGGTATCACAGGCGGGGCAAAGCACACCAAACTGACGGGCATGCCGCAGTTTTTCAAGCAGAAGGGATATGAAACGTGGTTTACGACAGGGTCTTCAATCGGCCTTGACGGCTGGGATATCTTCCTCCCTACTCATGGTTTCGACACTGTGTGGGATAACTTACACATGGTGAAGCTGGCTGAAGGTTATCTTGGTATTACTCATGACGAGTGGTACGGCGAAGCGCATCGCGGATTGGGCTGGGGAGTTCACGATGACATCAGCTTCCAAATTCTAGGCGATCTTTTCGTGAATAAGACCAGGGAGCAGAAGGAGCGAGTCTCCAAGGGTGAGCCGAAGAAGCCAATCTTTGTCTCGCACTATACCATATCCAGCCACGCTCCGTTCGACTCGTGGCCCAAATGGTACTCAGAATCTGAGAAGCCCGACTTCTCTGTCTTCTACGAAGGACACCCCCACGCAGACATGATCCAAAGATACCTGGAAGTGAGGCACTTCACGGATATGGAGCTTGGCAAATTCATGGATCGCATGTGGAAGGAAGGCATCCTCAACGACACTATTGTAATCATCGCAGGAGACCATGGTGCCGCACCTGAAGCGGACGTCACGAACACTCACGAGGTCTCTATGACTCGTGTGGCCGCCGCCATTGTTGCGGAAGGACGTCTGGGTGATGCTGTAGGCATGATGATGGAAGATGCCGTGGAGCATTATGACTTCCTTAACACGTTGGCTGATATCACTGGCATTCCAGAGGGAGGGTTCCTCCAGAACGGCGTCGGACGCTCTCTTAAGCGCAAGGTACCCTACGGTGAGCGTGTCGTCTTTAGCAACGAGCCAAACCGCAAAATGTCGATCGTGCGTGGCCATCGACGTCTGCGCTACGACCAAGCGAGCGACTCGGTTATGCTGCATGACACTGATAGGGATCACGCCATGAACATTGACCTGTTCCCGAGCCTCACAGCCGAAGCGCAGGCCGAATGGCGAAGCTGGCGAGATGATGGTCGTCGTCTTGCAGCTTACTACACCAAACGGTGGGACGAAAACTGCCTGCTCGCTGTTAACTGCACGAACTTGTAGAATTTTCGTCTGAATGCCATCCCGACCAATCAGAAAGCTAATCCGAGGTCGACTAATTCAAACGAGGGCCAGTAGTAGCCAACAGATTATCTATCAGTGCTTACAATGATAATTTGTTGGCTACTACTGGTCCTTATTACTTTTAGTAAAAGATTTAATAATGCTGAAGAAATTTTGATATAAGTTGCCGAATCAGATTCGGACTGATTCTTACAAGTATCAGATGTTTTGTTGAATTTTAACATTTCATCAGAATCAGATCTTTCTTTCAGGTAATAGTAACAGCAAGCTACTATTATCTGAAAAGTAGTAGATGTTCAAATTGCAGTTAATATTCATTTTGTCGCTGTTACTGTAATGCCTCATAAGTGGATTTGCTCACGTCGTCTCAATGCTACGGCGCATGGCCAAGCCGGGCTCGCACCTGGTGCGTTCTCTGTCTCTGAGCGCGCTATCCGTTGGGGCCGTATCTGTAGGCGTGGGTGCCGTGGCGTTGTACGTGGACGCGCCCGTTGCGGATCTGGGGGACGGCCAGTATGATGGTGGGCGACGCTCTGCGGTCTTCCCCGAGTGGCTGCACGACATAGGGCGCGTGCCCCTTTTCGGCGCTGCGACGCTGGCCTCTAAGTTCTACCTAAAGATACTGAATCGGACGACTGTGGAGGGCGCAGAGCTTCTGATCCAGCAGCTGGAGCAGCGGCCCAAGGGCACGGCTGTCATTACGGTGTCCAACCACTCGGCTACAGTGGACGATCCTGCAGTATTCGCTAAGTAAGGGACTGCTGCTGTCACTAGTTATCTAGGTATTAGCCAAGGAACTGACAGGGATGCTGAGTGCAGTATGATGCCGTGGAAGTACATGTGGCCGCGGATCGGACGGTGGAGCTTAGCCAGGTGAGATGGGATATCTATCATTCTGGTGGTGCTGGCGAAATACTAAAGTCACTTGTATGGCTGCAGCCAGGAATACTGTTACACGAAGGGAAAGCTGTTATCAACGATATTTTTTGGTGCCAAGACGCTACCGGTGAAGCGCGGGGCTGGTGTAGATCATCAAGTAAGTTTGCTTCGGCGATGTATCTTCCTCTTTACTTACAAGATTATTTGTCTCGACGTACTATGCAGATGATTCAAGCTATCTTCGACAAGGTGGAGGAGGGCGCGTGGGTCCACATATTCCCCGAGGGCAAAATCGTGCAGCACGAAGGTGAGTTTAGCCCTTGTATGTCAAATAATTTCGCAGTCGATGACTGTAATATTTTTTCTTGTTATTAGCGCTCGGTGGCCGACCAAGTCCGCGTCGAGAGGAGATCGGACGACTGAAATGGGGAGTGGGTAAACTTATCGCTCGCGCGACCACACCTCCGATCGTGGTGCCCGTGTATCATTACAACATGGAGAAGCTCATGCCTCAGGATGAGAACAACCGTCTGATCAGCCTCATCCCCAAGACGAATCTCGACCTGGGTGTTATTGTGGGCGAACCACTGTCCTTCGACGACCTGTTCGAGCGGTACGCAGACGACCGCATGGTCGGTGGATCTCCGTGGGAGACGCAGGAACGTGAGAAGGCACTGTACTCGGCCATCACGCGAAGAATAGAGGACGCGCTGCTAGCCCTCGAGAAGAAGACACATCACCTGCAGCAATAGACCACGCGGTCGCTTCACCCGACCCCCCCCCCCGACCGATGCCAGGTTGCTCCGTCATTGCCGCCATGCAGCTTAAATTTTCGCAATAGATCGTGACACTAGAGGAATGCAGAACTTAGACTACCCAGCGTTCTACTTCAGAAAACATCCATCTCAAGAACACCGATATTTTATTGGTGGAAAACAAGCTCATCGAGCACGTTCACTGGTCAAAATTATGTCAAGATATCCTAACGAGTGGGCGTCAAGGGGGCGGCGCAGTTAGGATTTCTCTATTTGTATCACAGCGCTAAGATGAGCTCCACGCCGTTCGAGCTGTCCATCGACACGCTGGACGCGTGGTGCGAAAAGCTTCTGGGCTGCAATCCACTGACGGAGAACGAAGTGATGCAGCTGTGCTCCAAGGCCAAGGAGGTGCTGGTACAGGAATCCAACGTGCAGCCCGTGCGCTGCCCCGTAACGGTTTGCGGTGACGTGCACGGCCAGTTCCACGATCTCATGGAGCTCTTCCGCATCGGCGGCCACGCACCGGACACCAACTATCTATTTATGGGGGATTACGTGGACAGAGGCTACTACAGCGTGGAGACGGTGACGCTGCTCGTGTGCCTTAAGGTGCGCTACAAGGATCGCATCTTCATCCTGCGCGGTAACCACGAGAGTCGCCAGATTACGCAGGTCTACGGCTTCTACGACGAGTGTCTGCGTAAATACGGCAGTCCGAATGTCTGGCGCTACTTCACGGACGTCTTTGACTACCTGCCGCTCACTGCGGTCGTCGAGAACCAGATCTTCTGTCTGCATGGAGGCCTCTCTCCGTCTATTGACACGCTCGACTACATTCGAGGGTTCGACCGACTGCAGGAGGTTCCTCATGAAGGAGCAATGTGTGATCTACTGTGGTCCGACCCAGACGATCGCTCTGGATGGGGGATCTCGCCTCGAGGAGCGGGGTACACTTTCGGACAAGATATCTCGGACCAGTTCAATCATGCCAATGGACTCACACTCATCGCCAGAGCTCATCAGCTGGTTATGGAAGGATACAATTGGTCGCACAAATGCAATGTCGTGACCATCTTCAGCGCGCCCAATTACTGTTACCGCTGTGGTAATGAAGCCGCCATCATGGAGGTGGACGAGCAGATGCAGTACACATTGTACGTACAGGATGTTGTAACATTTTTGGTGACAAATTACTGACTTGATATTTATTGTTGCTACAGCTTACAGTTCGATCCTGCGCCGCGTCGTGGAGAACCTCATGTGTCTCGTCGGACCCCCGACTACTTTCTGTAGACGAGCGACGGACAGCAACGAGGTTAACTCTGCGCTGCTGGAATTCATACGTGTTACGTCTTTCATCTTCTGGGCAGCTCTGCTTCATCAAACTCAACACAATAAATCCCCGCAAAGAGGGGAACACCAGAAAACATACAAGGTAGGAATAAAGTTAGCTATCATTACGACGGTGTTTGGTATTGTTACTCTACGGTCCGAGATCGGTGTTGCTGTTATGACGACAGGTTGTAGTTGCGCACCTTCTTGCGCTCACTCACCATTTCAGCTCGCTTGGATTGCAACTGCTTGAGTTTCTTTACGGCAGATTTCTGGCTGCTTGTTTCACGATCACTCACACGAGCTGCTCCAGTTGCAGTTTGTGCGGCAAATGTCGAGAGGCTAGCACGTGAACCTGCAACAGGTGGTCGTTTCCCGGACAGCATGAGCATTTCTTTGGCTTGCTGCAGCTTCAGCCGCGCATCCGTGACCTTGGCGCTGGAACTGGCACCGATCGTTGCATTGGAACCCTCTGAATCCCGTCGGTCTGGGGGCTGAAAGAGCCTTGAAAGTGGAGATTTGTCAGTGTTTCGAGAAGGCACGTCCTCCCCACCTTTTGCCTCCTCCCCGTCTCGATCATCATTCGCAGAGACTTCGGCCTCTGCGTCGCTATCCGTTGCACGTTCTGAGATCGTTGATGGTACTGCACGCGTTGTCTTAAGAGTTTTAATCTCTTGACTATGAACACTCGGCCTTTTGTTTCGTGCGAGAGCCAACAACTGCTCGTCTAGGTCTCTCTTGCTCGTACCTCCTTCTCCACCGTCAGATCCAGAGCTACTCGATCGAGTTTTAGTTCGCGCAGGTCCAGGATCCAGCAATTTCATCATCGATAAAGTACTAGATCTTCGTCTTTCGGGACCATTATCATCATCTCGAGGTGAAGCTGATAGTTTCGTGTCTCTATCGCCAGCTTCACCTCCCAAACCCTGCGATTCTCGATCTTGCTGAAGTTGTACCTGCATTTTCACCATACGACGAAGCTCCTTCTTGAGTGTCTTGTTGTGAACTCGAGCCTCCTCCAACGATTGAGTGAGTTCTGTAATCATATTCTCGTAATCTTTTTTACCAGCGAATTCCACACGAGGTGTCGATGATCTCGACCCAGCGTCTCCAGACCCGCTTCGACGCAGATCAGCACGAAGCTGGTTGCTCAGTTCCATGAGCTGGCTGCGCTCTTTCACCAGACGGTCGATATCGTTGTTTGCAGCTTCAAGTTTCCCCCTCAAATCCGTCAATCGGGCTTCATGAACTACTTGGCCGCTCTGTAAATGGGGCTCTGTTTTAGCCGCCTCCAGTTCCTTTACCCGGGCTTCTAACTCTGCGATCTGCGTGTTCTTAGCTTCTATAACGTTCTGGGCTTCCAAAAGCTCCCGCTTACAGCTTTCAAGCTGCAAAGCTATGCCCTCTCCATCCACATTCTCCCCAAGTTTCGTCTCAAGTGCGACGCAGCGTTCTTGAACTTCTAGTAGTTGTGCTGCAAGTTTTGAAGCGCTTCGACTCCCACTTTTTTGTCCTGGTGATGCCTCCATCTCTTCAGCCTGCTGGGCAAGTGATTCCTTCATCTGTCGAATTAGATCCCGCAGCTTTGCGTTCTCTAATTCTAACGCATTAGCACTCTTGCTGGTCTCTGCTCTGAGTATTCGTTGTGGGCTGTTCGTAAGCAGCGGAGATATACCAGGCATTGGAGAAAGAGTGCCGGGATCGTCACTCCACAGCGGGGAGGGAGCCACAGGAACTGAATCCGACGAATGCCGCACTTCTCCACTTCGTCTGGCTGCGGATGCAACGTACTGAGAGCCAAACGACTCAGAGATACGTGCACTAGACTTCAAAGTTGACAATTCGGAACGCAGTCGCTGTACCTCGTTCTCAGCGTGAACTAGACGTTCCTCCACAGCCTCCTTTTCATTTAGAAGACGATCTTTTACTTGTTGCAACTCGCGAAGTCGAAGCTCGTGTCGTTCATCCAGCTCTTGTTGCTGTTCTTGCCATCGGTTTTCCCACCGTAAATTAACTGTAACGAGCTCGCGCTGTAGATCTTCCTGCTTCTCCACGCTCTCAAGTAGCTCCTGCCGTTGTGCCTTGTCTTTCTCCTTGAGTAAGGCTATTTGTCGTTGAGAATCCTGCAGTCTTTCCTGAAGTGCCTGCGTCTCTCGATCTCCTTGTCGAAGTTGTTTTTGCATTTCACTGGCTACACGATGTTGTTCGTCTTCAAGGCCCTGTAATGCACTCTTGACACGCCCCACCTCGCGCTCCTTGTCCATTAGTTTATCGTCAGCATCCCACTTAGCCTGTTTCAGCTCAGCTTGGAGCGCCTCGGCCCTCTCCTCGCTCTCACGTAGCCTTATAGTAAGAGCTTCCAGCTTGGCTTCGCTCCTGGCGCTCGCCTCTTGAGCTTCGCTTTTCTTCCGCTCCGTGTGCCTCTGCAGTTCCTCATCATACTGCGTCTTCTGCTGTACAAACGCCTTCTCCACTGCATGCAGCGACTGCAGCAGCTCTGCCATCTTGGTTTCGTACTCATCCAATAGCTCCTGCTTAACGTCATTGAGCCTGGCCACTTCGCTCTCTAATTCCCCTATTTTAACATCTTTAGCAGCTTTCACATCCGCCAAAGTCCATTCCAACGTCTTTATCTCTTTGTCATTTTCCTGCAAAATTTGTTGAAGATTCTCATTCTTGGTCTTCAATTCCTCCGCTCTTGCTTGCTGAGCGTCTGTATCTCTCGTTAAGGCCTTGTTCTTCAGCTCTAACTCCCTCAATTTACCCTGTAACTCGTCATTTGCCCGTTTAAACTCCGTCTCCCGCTGTCTCATGGCATCGTCGAGCGTCACTGTAAGCTCTCTCCGTTGGTTCTCTACTTCTTCATCCTTCTCTCGCAACTGTCGCTCCATATTGCGTCTCAGAGACTCCATCGCGTCCTCTTGACGCCTCAATTCATCGTCAAACTTCCACCTTGTGCCTTCCATCTGAGCTCTGGCATCTTTGAGCTTCTGTTGATAGTGAACCTCCTGTTCGCCAGCTCTCTTTTTGGCCCGTTGCAATTCTGCTTGAAATTCTGCCTCCCTAGCTCTACTTTCACTCAATTCCGCCTCTCGATCCCTCACGACGTTCTTAAGTGAGGCAAAATTCGCGTCATACAGCGCTAATTCCTCGTCTCGTCCCTCTAAAAGCTTTAAATTGTACTTGAAATCCTCCTGCAGCTTGTTAAGCTTCTGTTTGGCTGCAGTGGCGGCGGTCTCCTGCAGGGACAAAGAATATCACAATAAGAAAATAGTACTCGTGGACTGGTTCAACATGTGTATTGTTACCTTGTCTCGCAGCAGTGCCTCCAACGTGCGGATACGGTACTCGTTGATGTCGTGCAGCTCCTTCTCCTTCTCTAGGATCAGCGAGCGGATGTTGCCTGGCCCCACACGCGCCACCAGGGACGGCGACAATCCTGAGGAGGTATCCGACGGCTCCATTGCAGCAGCCGTTGCGAATTACCCTGAATTGAGACCCTGTTAGTACTCTGATTTATTAAATTTCACTTCTGAGAGTGAAAGTTCACAATTCTAAATGTTATTTTAGGAAATTTGTAGAATGAAAAAAA